GCTTCCATCATCAATCTCAAAATCAAAATCTCATCAGCTTACTTTTACAATCTTTAATTAAGAAAAAAGAAATGTGGTTTTTAGATGATCCAAAAACCATGAACATAATCAAAAATATCTGTGAGTATTTTTATTTTTATATATATTTTAAGAGAAACGCTATATATTTTATAATATTATGAATAAATTTAAATAATTAAATATTTATGCTAATTTGTCAGTAATGTCATCGTCAAGTTATGTCTAATATTGTTCCTAACGAACAAACGTTCGTATTATAATAATAAATTAGTTATAAAGTTTAAAAATTTTCAACTGTTATTTTCGTTAATTTTAGATGAAATGATGACTCTTGATGCTGAACCATTCGCATTAGTTGAGCGAAAAGGCTTTCAAAGATTAATAAAATATTTGGCACCGCAGTATCCTCTTGTAGAACATATTTTTCTGAAAAAATTATGCCACGTCTGTATGAAAATTTGAAAACATGTTAAAGAAAAATTAATTACTGCGATAAATATATCGTTCTCCATCGATATTTGGCCTAATCTAACAAACAACGAGTCAATTATAAGCCTGACAGCTCATTTCATACGAAGTGATGATATGCAAAGAGAAATACTTGTACTCAGCGCGAAACACTTTCCTGATAGTCATACTGGTTTCAATACTTTCGGTCAGATATTAAATGATGTGATGGAAGAATGGCATATAAGTTCTAGCCAAATTCATAAAAAGGATAATGATCGCCCACGTTTCGCAGTTCCAGAAAGCATGATTAATAGCATTATTCGTACTTACCACGATGATAAAGCGCTGTGGATTTGATAAAACATTTCGGAATACACGAAACATATTGATTTCCTATGCGAAAACGAATTCACGATTATATTGAAAATTACTTGACGTGTTTGGTCGCAAACTCGTCAACGCATCGATTTGAAGGGCAATCACAAACCGGTGATGCGTTGACTGTATCTTATACAACGTTGCATCTCGATCATTTCGAGCCTTTCAAAATTTTCAATGATGGTTATAAGTATATTTTAGTTTTGGTTGATTCATTTTCGCGTTTCACATGGCTTTTTCCAACTAAATCTACAAATTCTAGAGAAGTTAGACCATTTACGAAATTTGTTCAATATCTTCAATATCTGGGTTATCCGTCAGAAATCATTACTGATCACGGTACAGCATTTACGTCAGAGAAATTTTTACATTTTTGCAAAACTTAAATATTAAATTGCGACAAGTAGCAGTGGCTTCACCATGGGCGAATGGTATTGTAGAACACGTAAATCATTTCATCAAAAGTTCATTAGCAAAAATTATAGATTCCCTGAAGGATTGGAAGATAAAATTAAAAACACATTCAACACATCATAAATAGTACGCATAATTCGGCATTAAAATCTTCACCGTCGAGAGTATTCAGTTTCGAAAAAAGAGGGCAAGACGACCAACAAATAAAGTCGTTAGTAACCGAATTAGCAAAAACACCTATTTCTTTTGATGAACAAAGAGAAGTCGTGAGGAATTTGGCTTCGAAAACAAATGAAAAATTGTGGGAATATAACTGTGTTATTACGATAATCGATATAAGAAACAGTCGAAATATCGAGAAGGTGATTATGTCTTCGTGCGAATCACGCAAAACAAGCCTGGCGAACATAAGAAACTCAAACCGAATTACAAGGACCGAATTACAAACCGTATATGATCGCGAAAATTCTAAATCACAATCGTTATGTCATGAAAGACATTCCGGGATTCAATATAACACAATGTGCCTATAACATGATAAACTGAAGTTTTGGGTCAACCTAGTGGAATCCTAGGAATATAATTAGTATTATTTTAGTTGAAATTAGAAGTTACATGGTTGCTTTTCTTTTCTTCTATTCTATGCCATCATCGAGAAATTAAAAACAAATCTTAGTTTAAGAGGTATTATGATTAATTAAATATTTTAGATTACCTTATTAATCATTAAGCGTTGTGATAGGTTAAGTACTAGAATTGCTAAATGCGTTAGATGTAAGCTAGTTAT